CCCCCCCCCCCCCCCCAGCACTGCCGGGCTGCCCACAGGCGGGATCTGCTGCATCCCACCAGCAGCAGGCAGGAGCTGCCCTGCTCCTCCTGCCTGCTCCCCCGCGGGCGCCAGGGAGGCTGGGCGCTCTCCTCTGCAGCCCCTTTCTTCTCTCAGGTTATAATTACACCTCGCCGGGCAGCTCAGGAAATACCAGCTTCTTCCCCCGAGCGCCTCTCAGAATAGCAAGCGGCACGGCTGGGCTCATTTCGCATGCACCGGGTTTAGTGCCGCCACCCAGACGCTTCCTCCTGCCGGGGCAGCGCTGGCACAGCCCTGGCACAGGCCTGGCACAGCCCCGGCATCACTCGCCGTCACCTCCCTGGCCAGCCCCGGCCTTTGCCCCTCGGCCAGGGTCTCCTGGCAGCAGCCTGGGAAGTGGGGGAGATGAAAGGGGAGGGAACGGGAGATGCTTCGATCGGGCAGCACGTGCCCTGCCTGCCACTGTTTGCCTTGTGATAAGGCTAGGCAGAACAACAAATACATGGAGTGGGGGATGGCCCCGGGGGGTGACGTGGGTACCCCCAGGGCTGGGGTGGCAGATTCACCCTGTCCTTCTGTGCCCACCTCAGTTTGGAACCCTCTGCTACAAGCAAAGAGCATCTCCCCAGGGATCTCATCCCACGGCGTGCCAGCCCCGAGAGCCCCAGCCCATCATGAGACTGCCATGCTGCCACACTGACGGGATGCCACCATCCTCGGTGGCCCATGTGTCACCCAGCATTGTCCTCCTCCTGACTGCCAGCCCCAGCGCCCACTCGCTCACCCTGATGGCATGGCTACGGCCACACATGTGGGCACAGAACCCCCCCATGGTGGAACCCCGGGCTGTGTCTCTGGGGCTGCTGAGCCAGCTGCACCGATTTCCCAGCATCCGCCTCTGCTGCCTGCCGGCCCCGGGTGACAAGGACAGCAACAGCCCTGCTGTGCCGAGTCCTCCCGCTTCTCCATACCCAGCTCCAGCTCTCCTGGGCTGCTCCTGCTGTCCCACTGCTCAGTGACACCTGGGACATCATCCCCCCCCCCAACCCTCCGTCATGGCTGGGCAGCCCAAGCTGGGCCCCGGTGCCGTCCCACAGCCCCCCCGCAGGGAACGCCGAGCTGTATGCGTGGGGCGGCACGTACCCTCCCGCCGGCCACGTCTGCGCACCAGGGGAGGCTACGTTTGGTCTCGCACGCCGTGTCCCGGCCAGCACAGATGCCTTCCCCTCCTCGCCAGGATGGGGACACGTGTGTGGGGCGGCGGGGCTCCCAAATCCCTGCCCTGCCCTGGCAGGCAGGCAGCAGGCAGCCCTGGGCTCGCCCCAGCCCCCTGCCAGCCTTCCCCCGTGGCTGGGGCACCGCAGGGGATCCAGTCCTGGAAGGGGCTGCATCCCTCTGCCTAACTTCTCGCTTCCACCCAGACTTTACTTAAAAGGTGGAAAATCCCAGCTGGGAGCAAGGCACAGCAGGGAGCGGGGGACTGGGACAGGGGAGCTCTGTCGGCAATGCCAGCGGAAGGTGTCCATCGCACCCCGCAGCGTGGCGAGGAGCACACATGTTACCCCAGGAAAGCCTGGCCCTTGCACTATGCCAGTTCCCACACTCAAGCCACCGCACAGCACGGTACCTGCCGGGACACACCATGCCGGTGGGAGTACAACAACACATGGGAACGGGCAGCGCTGCCTGCCAGCCCTGCCTGCGCCACGCGGTGCCAGCCTGGGGTGCGACAACCCACCGTGTCCCTGCAGTCCATGACACCCATCCATGGACAGCCACTGCTCTTCCCATGGGGGATGAAGGTGCCGGGTCTCCCTGGCAGCAGGTGGGTGAACGCCCAGGCTGGGGACACCCCACGGGGCAGAGATCCCCTTCTCATCTCCTCTCCCTCTGCAGATGAATCCTGCAGGGCTAATCCGTCCCAGATGGGCCCATGGGACTATTCCGGATGGTAATCCGGCTTTATCACCAAGCCTGCCACAGCTGCCGGCCTGCGTGCTCGCAGACAGGTACCCTGCTGCCGCTGGGTGTGCCGGGGTGGCCAGCAGCACGGCACCCCCCCGTCCATGCCCGCCTGCCCAGGTGGCTGTTCGGGTTTCAGTGGAGCCCGGCACAGAGGTCTCATGTTCCCTGGGGCTGCGCTGGTGACAGCCCTCCCAGAGAGACAGGCAGTGTGGGCAAGTTGGCAGGGACACCATCTGTGTCCCCTCACCGCCATCAGCTCCCAGTCCTGGGGTCACCCCCAGCACCGCTGCTGGGCACGGGGTGAGCCCAGCCTGGGGTCCTTGGTCAGTCCCCAGCACCAACGTAGCCACAGGATTGTGTGGGCACATGGGCCTAAACCTCAGAGGCCCCTGGGCATCACCCCCCCAGGGAGGCTGGTCCCAGCAAGGCAGGCACAGGCAGTGGGGATGCCCCCACAGCTCCCCTTGCCCCTCCACAGAGACCCTCCCCCGGGCGGCCCTGGGAGCCTGGGCGCTGGGAGCAGAGCCAGCCTGACCCTACAGGAGCAGGGCCTGCCCTTCCCCCCAGGCACAAGCAGACGTGGCTTCCCCCTGACCTGCCTTCCTAAAATTAGCACCCCAAACCTGTTTTTAAACCTATGGCATTTCTCCCACCCCACCTCCCAGCCAAGCAAAGACAGTGCCATTGTCCTAGGGACAGTGAGCACACAGAAGGACAAATCCAGCTGTGCAGGGGCACAGCTGAGCACCTCACCTTTGGTGTGAGGGCTCTGGGGTGCACCCCAAGTGCACGGGGACACCAGCTGCCATGAGGAGGGACAACTGGAGACAACTTGCCCAGTGCACAACTGGAGAGCCCCTCCGAGTAGCTCCACTGTAGACCCTCTCCAAATAGAACTGCTGGAAACTCTGGTGAGACAGCCCCACCAGAGACCCTCATGAGATAGCCCCACCAGACAGCCCTGCTAGTCAGCCCTGCCCATGGTCCCAGCATGAGCCAGGCAGTGTGGCCACCACTCTCGGGCTCACTCAGCCCCAGAGAGACCTGGAGTTTCAGCCCCAAAAACTGCACCATGGCTCAGCCTCAGCCCAGGCAATGCCCCTGATGCTCCAGCCAGGGCAGAATTGGCAGCGGCAAAAAGAAGCAAGCGGCTCTCGAAGATGCTGCCTCAATTAGAGGGGCTTTGGCAGCACCACCTGCCCCAGCAGCTCCAGGCTGTCCCCACCATGCTGTGTGAGGAGTGGTGTCCACCTGGGGTCTTCTCTCAAAGAGCACAAGTAGCCCCTGTGTCCTCAGGAACAGCTCTGCCCAAGTCCAGGGACGTGCCCACAGGCGGAGCGTGCCAGTGGCTGGGCTGGCTCATGGCCACCATCCCACAGCAGTGGATGTGCTAGGGTCTGGGACACACACCAGGGAGGGGAAAGGCACCACAGGGAAGGGGGTGGCAGAGCCAAACATCACGGGGGAGGCCATGGGGAGGGTTTTTCAGAACCAGAGCCATGGCACAGCTAAGCCACAGCAATCTCCTGCTGGTTGTGTGCCCCAGGATGGGGCCACAGCAGGGAGTGAAGGGCCACAGGACAGGGACCAGCCACCACAATCATGCCACGTCTTTCCACACCAAAGCACTGGTACCAAGGTGAGCTGAGAAGAGTGGTGGGGAAACTGAGGCACGGGTCTGGAGGCCAGGCAGTGGCAGAGGAGCCATGTCCAGCACCGGGAAAGCCCAGGCTGCCGCAGACACAACCCGATGTGGAAGGAAGGTGTTGAGCCCATGTGGGAGAAGGTCAGGCAGCTGGCAGTGTGGGGACAGGAACAGGGATGGTGACAGGGTAGGCACAGCACAAGGCCAGTGGCATCTAGTGTGGCTCTAGGGGAGGCCAGATGAGACAGCAGCTTGAGCCCAAAGAGTCTCAGACAGCTCTAGGCTTGATGTCAGGGTTTGTGTTAAATTTAAAGCCAATGTACTGCCTGTCAGGAGCTCAGAGACACCCAGGAAGGACGGTGGCACATATGGTGGCACTGTGGGGACTGATGGGCAGGTAACATCTGAAAAAAACACTCTAGGTTTTCTATTGCACCTCTGGAGACACATTTCGCCTTGTAAGTGAGATGCTTTCCAGGTGTTCCCACTCCCTAAAACACACCAGTCCTTGACAGCTGATGGCAAAAAATCCAAGCTGCCATTTGCTGCAGGCAGATGTCCCAGGGACACCAGGAGGAACTGACCTCATCCACAGTCTCATGTGTCCCACCACCACCCTGGCACCCCCAGCACAGCACCCTGTCCCAACCAGGGGCTGTGACCGGCCCAAGCCCCATGGGACCACCACTGTTCTTGGCTCTGCCACTCTCGCCATTGGGCCACCCCACCCGCCTGGTGTCTGCTCCCTGGTCTGGGGACAGCAGGACCATGCTGGCTGTCCCCACACCAGCACAGGGGACCCAGCCAGCCCTGGACCTGCGTCAGCGGCTGGGGAGGTGCGCGGCAGTCAAGACCCATGCAGTGAGGAGGGTCGGAGGCACGGGGGGCCTGTCCCATCCCCGACCCACCTCTGTTTTCTCAAGGGCTGCATTTCCAAAGGAGCCCGTGGGATCCCGCTCCTTCCCCCCGTCCCCACGAGCCAAGGAAAATAGGCTCTGCCGGTGCCTGTTTATTTGCCGTGGCTGCGGCCCCGGCGTGTGATTACAGCTGCAGCACGGCCGGGTGCTGCGGGGCCCTTTGCGCCTCGGCCAGGCTCCCCCGCAGTGCCAGCACCCCCCCATTCCATCCTCAGGCTGACCGGTGTGCCCCCATTGCCCCCCAGCAACCCCAGCCACAGGAGCCAGGGCATGCCGGCGCTTGGGCACCAGGGGCCAGGGCAGCGTCGTGGGGCACCGAGGGCTTTCTTTGGGGTGCCCCCACGAAGCCAGGGATGAACACACACTGGTGGCTAGAAGCAGGGACCAGGCAGGTCTAACGGCTCAGCTTGGGCCTGATCCAAGCGCCAGTGGAAAATTCCCTGTCTACTCCGCGGCGGCTTGACTCGGCCATGCCCTCCGCAGCCAGCTGGGGCTCAGTCCTGTGCTGGGGCTCTGCTTCCCCTCCATCCCACCTGCCAGGGACTTGCTGAGCCCACCGGCTCACCCTTGCCACTGCAGAGGCAGCCCCTAATACGGGGAGCCCAAGGCCAGCAGCCACAAGCCGTGCCTCAGTTTCCCCTCGGGGAAGGTTTCTCTCGGGCAGGACATTTGCAAGCTGCCCCAGGCAGAGCAGGCCGCCGTGCTGGCTGGCATGGGACATGCGTGGCCGGCGGGAACGCAATGTGCCTCCTGCCTCTCCACACCGCCGTCCCAGCCAGCCAGCCTCTATAAATACTCTGGCCTGGAGAAGCACCGCACGCACAGCCAAGCTGAGCCCCGGCAGTGACCGTGACGGCCAGCAGCGCTCTCCCCGGCCATGCTCCCCGCCATGCACCACTCCTTGCCCCGACACCCTGACACCTGATCCCAGCTGCGACTGCTTCCAGCCTTAAGAAACATATGTCATTCCCACGGATAATTAAAAATTAAAAAGGGAAAGAAAAGGGGGTTGGGGGGGTTGGTGTTATTATTATTATCAGCAAAGTGGAAGGCGATGCTGAAGCCCCCCAGCATCATGCTGCGGGCAGGAGCTTTGCCCGGGCGTTAGGGTGGAAAGGTGGCAAGGCAGGGCTCTGCCTTCCCTCTGCCCTCGCAGGATTTGTTACCCACCCGTGGGAGGGTTTCAGCAGCAGGGGAGGGAACTGGCATGAGGAAAGCAAAGCAAACAGCCCCGGGGTGCTGCCACCTTCCCCGGGCTGCCGGAGCCCCGGAGACTTCCCCCGGTGCTGCCGGGGGGGGATTTGGCCGGCTCCGGGAAGAGGAGAAGGAGGAGGAGGAGGAGGAGGAGGGAAGCAGGGGATTACGAGGAGCATCGGGCTGCGGGAGGAAAACGGGGCCCGGCGGGGGGCGAAGGGAGGTGAGTCGGAGAGGGGGTTAGAATAGGGCGCAGGGGGGGAGGGAATAAGAGGAGACGAGGAGTCCAAACCCCTGGCAGCCTTCAGCCACGGAGTTCCCCGAAGAATAAGGTAAAACGTACGGGCGTGCGCGAAACTGGGGAGACTGGGAGGGACTTACCTGCCCCTCTCTCCGGCGATGCCTCTGCTGCGGGCTGGGGCGAGCAGCCCCCGGTGGCCAGCCCCGCGGTGCCGCGGATTAGAGGCTATCCTGCGGCCGTAATCCCGGCGGAGCCGGAGATTAAACCGGAGCCGGGCCCGCCC